GTTTTTGGTGACATATTTTAGTTATCCTCTAGCTCATTATTTACTAATATATTTTAAATTAATTCAGTATAATGTTTTACATATGTTAATGTATAATTATTTCTCCAAAAATATTTGGATTCATCAACTATTTGGTGAATTTAATCTTTCACCCGTACCCCTTCTCTTGTTTGACCTCTTTTACATCCTTAATCTTTAGGAAGAAAGCATCTTTCATTCGTCCTTATAGTGTAAATTTTTAAATTACTAAGAGTAAAAGTCTGGAATACAAAGAATGTAAGTATAATAAGAACATTTAAGTAGTAAGAATTGTATACAACAATAATGGTAAGGATGTTTTCGTGATACTGTAATAGAAACATAGTGGTGACACCTCCCTTACGCACAAAAATTCTTGCTCAATCTCCACACCCCCATGCACTTCTTGCATGAAGAAGTATACATCCCTCACTCAATAGACGTCTCGTTCTCACTTCTCATCCCTAAGAAAGAAATATGTTATTATCGCCCAAGCGTTTTAATGCGCAAGATTCATCTTGCTTCTTACCCGAGCCAAATTCTCGATTTCAACTTAGAATCACCTCGTGCACATAGATATATGCGAGTAATCTTTACATTAAGTACTACAGTAGTGACAACATTATCCTCCGAGAAAACCAATATAAGCTCAAGTTTGCTTCACATGCGAGTTGTTAATAGCTATACCACCGAGGAAGCACCTATGGAATAACTGACTACGTAATTTAACCAATTAACTATTGGAATCATACTAAACAAAACAGTTATTCCATCTCCCCAGTCCTCTTTGGTGGACCATATTCTATATAGTCAAAGCAAATTAACAATCAATAAACAGATGAATTATAAAGTAACAGTTGAGCCAGTCAAGCAAGAGACAAGAACTTAGTGGATATAGAATGGAGGATATAGGGAATCCTAAAATCTTCATTGATAGTCTCTTAACATATAACGGTCGGTTTCCTCTGTATTCGAAATTTGACTCTAGCTTGAACAATGAAGCGGTAAAGCAAATAGATTTGTTGTTCCCTCATGACAAAAATCTTACTTTTGAAGAGATTAAACTATCTTGAAAAATTTAGAAGGATGTTTTTGTCTTTAGAAAGAGAACTTGAAAGCACCAGCTTTGGAATCTGATACAGAGTCCCAGAAAGTAACTTTTTGTTCTTCAGCTCTTTTCTCTTCTTTGGCTTTCTTCTCTAAATCCTCGATAGTCCCGGGGTACACTCTTTCGATGGCCTTCTTGAATTTTTCATGCAAATTCTCTCTGTCAGTTGTTCCGGAGACTAGCTCTTTCGCATTCGGTTTCTTCAGAAATTCCAATACATTCAACAAATTCCTCCTGCACAAGTAAATGTTTCTCCAATTAGGCCACCTCAATTCATGAATATGACCATTTATCAAAGTAAAGTATCTCCATGGTAGCTGCAACTTATGTACAAATAGCTACATCGATACATTTAACCTCCCCAATGACAATACTATCTTAAGTGCACTGTTAGATATTCTAGTTGCATCAGTTTGCTATCGTTGTTACTTCTAGACTTTTGTTTTTAGTTAATCAACAGATGGTAACATCTGAAAATGAACTTAATCTAGCACAATAAAGTAATCGCAATAGAGAGAGACATGACAAAGCTGTTGAACTAAAAAGAGCAAGTAGGAAAACAATCCTTTACCTGCTAACGTAATTCTGAGTAATGGCAATTGATTCCTCCAAGTTAATCACCAGATGCCACCATCCATTAGGTACAAACATCACCTCCCCGGCTTTGCATATACACTCAATAGGTTTCTTCTTCCAACTCTTAGTATCACCATAAAAGTTCATGAACCACTCCATTATGGAAACAGGACATGCCACTTCTGCTCCATCAGGGCTTGGATGCACGCCCGGAGGAACCACATCAGGTGGGAACAAAACCCATTTTTTCGACCCTGTGATCACCGCGTTCCAAGCAGATGTCGAGTTAGGATCAATGTGGAAAGACGATCCTGAACCGGATGGACCAATTATAATCCATCTATAATCAGGTCGCTCTTTGCCAAGAACACCAAACAAGTCCTCTCTGAAATACACAGGAACATCATACTCCGAATCCAAAACCGGTACTTTCTCTGCAAACTTGGGATCAAACAAGTACAACGGCCTCTCTTCCCTAACTCTATCAGAATACATAAAATAGTTCTCGAGCTTCATTTCAACTGGACCGACTGCGAATTCGACATCCCCAACCACCTTAGTCAGATAATCTCTTGACCATTTCTCAATAGCAGGCCAATCATCCAAACATCTTTCCAACAGAACCGGCTTATTCGGTTCCTCAAACTTCGTAATAAACTCCTCAACAGAAATACCTCTCACACGGATTACATTATCTCTTTCAAGCCATTCCGGTTTCATTTCGAGATTAGCACACAACCAGCTCTGAAACAGATAATCAGAATAGAAATCTCTAATCTTCAAAACCGATTCAACAGCTCCTCCAGAGAACTTGAACTTCGGATAAGAGGCAGATACATAAGTAGATTTCCAAGACCCAGTAAACAAAAACTCGCCTTTTAACTTATCTAACACTAGATTTCTCCATAAAGGTTCATGATTTGCAAAAACATAGAAAGATTTAGTTACACAAGACAATACACCCAAATGGGTCGCATCGAGAAGCCCTAGAATATCCAAAACGAGCTCATCCGTCAAAATCTGGAGATTACCTAATCCAGTGTTTCGCACATTCACAGAACCAGGATTGACAAAATAGAGGTTTCCGAGAGGTTGAACTCCATGCTCGCGCGAAGGAGCTGAAGTTTTCAGCTTGAACCCATCTCCGTAGTCTTCTTCTTCCTCTTCTAGTGCTCTCTCTGGAAACAGAGACTCAGGCTCATCGTGAACGAGCCTTTGTTTCTTGGATTTGGAATTGGATTTACGCCGCTTGTTACGAAGCTTCGAGGTTAGCAACAGTTTCTTCCGGCTTGACATGTTTGTCGGAGGAGGATCAAGCTTCGGCGGCGAGGGCTCTGGGTTTTAAGAACCACGAGGGTTTTGCTTTTTCCTTAAAGAAGTGACTTATCTTATTACTCTACCGGAAATCTTCGGTTTGAATCGGTTCAACCGTAAAAACTAACTACTGATTATGCTAATTTCCTATTTTCTTTAATTTAACTACTGTATAATTCATAAATTTGTAACACTCATTTTGATAATTGATCAGATTTTAACATACTGTATATCCCAAATTAAAATATAATACGGGTGGACAAAATTTCCGAAGTGAACCGATCCAAATAACCGAATGGTCTACAGTATGTACTGTGTAACCG